CATCAAGCCCCAATGCATAGACAAACTAAAAATAATTACATACTTCATTCGTCTTCGCACAAGATAATCAGGACCGCGTTACCCAGTGAACTGAGTGTGGTGGGTACGGATAAATGAGTTACAGTTCAAATATCCCGACTTCCTTCCCTTGTTGTCTTCCTTACCCAGCCCACTCTCTTTGCCCCTAAAGCGGACCTATTACAATCCATCAAGTAACTTAGTTATCACTAATCAAAGATTTTTGCTAAATAGCACTGCAGGTAATTTGCCACGAAATAGACTGCAGATTCTGAGACCTCCTCTGTCTTTGAAGCAGGGAGCCCTCAACGTAGGGACGATTCCGAAAGCCTCAGTATGATTGGGAGTGAGTGTCTCGGGCTGCAACTAGTCATCCCTTCCTTGCACCTGGCGGAATACGTCCATGCAACCAAGCGTCTCAGCCACTCCTGAGGAAGTCATACTGGCTACTCATGGCGGTGTTGTCCCACCAAAGTGAAGGGACGAATGGCCAATATCCGGGTTGGTGAACCACTAACAGTTTAACTAAATGTGCTGGCTAAAAACCCTGATTCCAAACCAATCAACAAAAAGTGCGTGAATTACACCCACTCACACCTTCATGGTTGCGACAGAAATCACCGGCTCAATTAGAAAGCGAGGTGTATTGGGCACCTTGGACGTTTGACCCCATCCGAAGGACGTGTGATTCGAGGAACTGGACACCGGTTCCCAATAGAGTGAGGTTTTAACAGACCGTCGCGCTGCCTTGCGGGTCAGGCTTTGGCTCGCCGAAGGCTCCAGTTACGAGATTTCCGTTCCTTTACCTCAAATAGAGGTTTCCCAGGAAATATGCTACCTCAAAATACATAAGGTCCCCGGTCCGGATGAGCTGTCCCCATCGGTATTCAAGGATGGAGGCTCAGCGTTAGTCCTAGAGTTGACGAAATTCCTGAGTACGATGTAAGAGAGGGAAAAGGTCCCAACTGAATGCTTTGAATCGGTCTGCTTATCGATTTACCAGAAAGGTAATAGATCCTCTTCTGAAAACCAAAGAAGAATTATTATATGCAATATTGCCACTAACCTTTTCAATGGGATCATATTCCGTGGATTGTACTCTGCACGTGAAGAGTTTTATACCATACGTACGCCCAATTATGCAATAACGTCATTCTTTTCGTAGACCCACTATCTCTGACTTCCTCGTTCGATGAGCGGCCTTCGACTCAATTGATCGCTCTAAACTCTGGCAACGCCTTTCCCTGAAGGTTGTGCCCGAGAAGTTTATTTCCATACAACGATCCCTTTATACAAAACACTGAAACCGACTTAGAGCTTACGGCAATTCTTCGCTCGAGTTCACCACGGAAAATGGTGCTCCTCTCCTGTTCTATTCAACTTTGGAGTGAATTTGATTATGGGAACAGACCAATCCGCGTGCAGGGATAGTGACATCTAGTTGTTCCCAGGGGGTAGGCTGATTGATTTGGAGTATGCAGACGAAATTATACTGCTAAGTGAAGACCCACGTAGGTTGCAAGCTTCCCTGGGTAGTTTGAACGCCAGCGTAAAAATGTTCGGAATGCGTTTGCACCTTCAAAGTGTTAAATGTTGCTACAAGACTAGGTCGGTCCAGCGACCAGCCTCACTCTAACTGGAGAGGTAATTCACCAGATGAACAAGTTTTGTTATTTGGACAGCTATATCTCACCCGGTGGACGCATCACGGATGAAGGGTCTGCTCGCATACAGAAGGCTCGGTTTGCTTTTGCTAACTTGAGATATCTGTGGAGCCATCGCGGAGTGCATGGTGCGGCGGTTCGGCAAGTTCTGCTATAAGGCGCAGAATCTTTGCCATTTCCTAATGGAAGCAGGATCATTACCATCATCATCATCATTATACAACGCAATACAGTGAAGCGAACTTCGCTGATCTCTGCCAAACTTATGATGCATACAAGGTAGGTGAGATTGTGTAAGGAGGATAGGGATTGGACTTAATTTTAGCTCCCCACGGCGAGTGGGAGGCTTCAATGATACCTTCANAGACAGAAGTCCATTTATTTCTTCGCGTACGAATGTGTGATCTTCCCTGCTGTATTGTCGGTATTTTTTAGCGACAGACAGATTCTGAAAAAGTGGCGGGGACACGATGGAAGCAGGCCTGAGTGAGCAGACCGTAAACGGAGTCTCCTCTCTGCCAAATGATATATGAACGCTCTTGTGAAGGTTGAGGAAGTCATGTTCGAAGAGAACATCCGAACACAGGTCACCCAATATAGATAGTTTGAAACGTTTGTAGACATGACTTTTGTACATGATGGAGATAAAGCAGTGTCCCCTTGTGGTGCTGGATAGGGAACATGAGGCCATTGTGATGGCTTCTCTGGGTGGGAGTATCTTCCACCTATTAGTTAGTACTAAGCTCTCGGAAACCGCTTGCTGAGCTTTGGTGTCGATCAGAGCACGACTAGGGACTCCATTGACTTCAAGATCCACGACAGATTTCGAGAGGCACGTACAGAGTGAGCTGCGGTATTTACCGATATAGATAGGCAAGCGGCAGATGTAGTGTGATTTTGTTGGTTTTTTGAGAGACAAACTCTTCAGAAGTGACCTTTTTATCACAAACTTTACAACGACTATCTCCTACGGGGCATTTTGAGCAAGGGTTTGTCGAGGTCGCAGAAAAAAACACTATCGTAAGAACACTATTAGAGACTTGCGGGGGAACGGATGAGTGGATGGGGGTGCGCATTTAGTCACCGTGTGGGATGCGGTGGGAAAATTCTGCTAGGGTATGAATGCTTGCTCTGCCATTTCTAGGGCTCTCGATTGATCGACGGCCTTTTGAAAATTCAGGGAACTATTTTTGAGTAGGCGTCGTCTGATCTGATTGGATTTCACTAATGAATGCACCTCGGAGAACATTGTCTCGGTTTTCCTCCGTGGTAGTGGACCTGAAACTACAATCTTGCTAGGGACTTTAACTTCTGAGCGAACTGATCAAGAGTCTGCCCACTTTCCTGTTTGGCTGCGGCCAGGATGTGACGGACGAACACCTCATTTTTGGGAGCATATGGAGGTTATTGAGCGTCTCCGTTGCCATTTATTAGGTTTCACACTCCACGACATGTTCGTAGACAGCAGATATATGAAATCCTCATATTCATCTTGTCGGGCTTTAAATTTAGAAAACGGTATTCACGAAGAAATTTCTTTTCGATATATCGCATCAGGCGTTTAGATATGTCAGGTGATCACAATACAGACGTCTGATTGGCGGATTAGTAGCGATGACAGAGGCGAGCAAACAGATCAAAAGAATATGACAAGGCTAATGATAGCCGTGGGTGGGGGTAAGAACACAAAGGTCAAATGGACAAACGTTCGAGGGATGAGCAGATTAAATGAAGGTTGTGAGCTAAGACGAGAAAGCGGGATGAAGCTACGTAATATACGGTAGAAAATATAGGTCAAGCATAGCAAGTGATGTGATCATGAAGGGACATTAGAGACAAAAACAAGATAATTAGTTCTTAAGATTGAGGGCTTTAAATTATCCAATGACTTTAGGAGACTGAGAAGAGTCCTGTACCAATGGTTCCACCGCCTGACGGCATCTGATGAGCTAGGTTCAACATCGAACCGTTCGAAGCGCAATATTCGATCGATTGCTGTATGTTGAATAAATTGTACTGTCAATGCAGGATGCATGAGAAACCAGAACGAGGAAGGCCCAAACGTTAGGCTATATTCAGCGTGCGTGAGGCAGCTGAGCAAGAGAGGAGTTACGAGACAGAAAAAGCGATGTACGAGGTATTGTCACGTTTTTTATTCTGCTTTCAAAGGGAAGAACGTTTTTAGTTGGAGGTAAGTTCAAGAGGAGAAGTGTTCCACAGTTGTGCTGTTCTAGTTACAAAAAGATGATTGAAGGCCAGGAATGCGAAACCTGGGGATAGTCACTTGAACCGCGTGGCTAGCCGCCTGTGTGCGGGACCCATGAGGAAGAACGAGTGGGAGAGATACAGCAGATGCAAGAGGACCAAGATGGTATCGATGAAGTACGTATAAGAAAGTGACTGCTCGACGGTGAACAAGTGATTAACTTGTCAGAGACGGGTCGTGGATGAGACGGATGGTCTTCCGTTTAACCCGATCAAGAGGAGAGAGGTGGACGAAGCTCGACCCCACACACGACCGCACTATTCAAGTGTAACACGAGTCTGAGCTTTGTAAATCGAGAGACGGTGATTGGGGGTGAAGAAACATCTAGCGCGGAATAGGAAGCCGATTTTGCGTACAGCGTACTTGGTAGGTGGATAAGGTGAATATAAAAGAGAGGAAGATAAGAATAGTATCCACAGGTTGCATGAATCTGTGGATCAGAACGTTTGAGTTAGAATTCAACAAAGGTGAGAAAGGTACGTGTTTAAGAGAAACGGACACTAGCCAAGTTTTACTGGCATTGCCCAAATAACAACTTATCCACTTGCTCTATCCCTACCCCGGTTACAGTGCGGCTGGGTGCTGGACCAACCGAATCCTGCTCTTGTTTGTCAACACAAAAAGAAGCAGGCATTCAATTTTGAACTTCTGGTGGGGTGCGGTGAAACTTGAGTAACAGAACAATTATAAATTAAAATAGCACCGAAAGCCAAGTCACAACCGACTCACCTGGCGCAATAATTGCTGAATGGCTGACATTACCATTAAACCACGCCACACAACAGCTGAGTTCGACCCAACAAGTGAACCCATAGACATACATTTGATTCCGAAGCTAAGTAAGGGGATAATTCGCTTTTTATCATCGACTTCCGGCTGGAATCCTTCCAAGCCCACCATTTTTGGAATCGAGGGGCCGAAAACATCAGCATCCAGTAAACCAATAGATTCTGTCGGTAACAGTTCTTTCATCGCAACAGCTAGATTCACTGATACAGTTGACTTTCCTAAGGTGATTTCAAAATTAAATTATCTCAACAAACCAACTCCGCCTTTGGCACTGGTAACCAAGATAATGTTCTTCACGCCAGCCAATGGAATCTTATGTGGTGCAGGCCGCTTTCCACTGTTAGAAACATTTCGGAACGTGAAATGGCGTATGCGCATGCAACATCTTTGGACAGTTAAGGTTTTCTGAAGTATGTACATGACTGCGCTGAAATAAGAGTAGAAAACACGAAGAAAGAATACAAAGTGTTTCCTTTTATAAAAGTAGTAGGACTATGCATCGTCAAACGATGCCGTTCCACATCAATTGACTAATAGATGCACTTATAAAACAAAAATTAAGTGTCTTACATATAGTTTAATTGATTCTATGATAAATTCTCCTCAGTTCGTGTCATTATCCCGAAATAAACTGTGAAACAAAGTAGAACACTATTTGTGCTCTACATGACCGAATTCAAAGAGTACTTACTCTAAAGCTGCTGGCTCCTTGGAAAGGATAAGCCAGACATGATTATGAGCGAGATCATGGAGTTCCTTGGGAGTTTGGCACGAGAGTCGTCCCCAGCCTCGATCGGCAGTTTTAATTTGAGGGCGCACCTCTAACCTTTGCACAACCAAGTGCGAACTGCAGGGCAGTAATCCCTCGCCTGGGAAGTGAGGGTGTCTATGACTTTAATTTTAAAAGACCAGCTACATCGACCTTTGTCAAGACACCATAATTGGGCTTGTGTGGCTTTTAAACAGGATTTAGGTGACCAACCAGAAACCCACCGCACCCTGATAGTGCGAGAGTAAGATCGGGTTAGTAAAATATACACTAAGTTATTTCTTCCCTTTATTTGGTATAGCGTATGATGGCCAAGCAGTTTGAGTAACTGTGTAGTGACGCGCCACTTTCACCTCTTACCTACGACTTCTTTTCTACTCGCAACGAGCTTTTGTTTTACCGGATGCACCTTATCTGTTTACGCTCAACCGCGGAATTGTCACTTGGGCGGACGTGTACGATGTTCAGTTCAGTTCCAGGACGTTGACGGCGGTGTGCCAGTTAGTCCAGTTTCNTGGGCTCCAGGGATCCCCCGATGCTACGACAGATGGGAGAGGGAGATGACTCTTCTTCAATTTTGCGATTAAATACTTCAGGAGAGTTGGGTGTTGACCTCCCACTCTCGCGCCACATTCCGGTCCTGCCTAATGGATCAGGGCAGCAGACCCTGACACTGGCATCAACCAAGTTACAACCCCGGC